GGCTGGCACCGCGGCCCCTGCGGGCCCGCGAACATTGCGCCAAGGGGCGCTGGACCTGTGCAACTTACAAACCTGCTTGCTCCATGCCTGCTGAAGGACATCTGTAGACAACGGAACACATCGAAATGGCAGGGCCCACGGATACAACGGCGCAGTCCATGCGGCCATCTGCGGGCCAGTGCACATCGCGCCCTGCAAACATGAGCTGATCCAGTTCGAGCTCGTAGAGCCTGGGGCGTGCCAGGCCTGTCGCTGCATCGCTCGCATGCGATCGACAAGCGGAGGCGGCGCCCCGTGAACGCCGATGCCATATTCCACGGTTGCTGGTCGTGCCTGCTTTGTAAATCGAGACACCAGAGGACCTGCCTTGCGGACGGCACGAAGTCGGGGTACACGTTTCGCGGCCTTTCGGACCTTGGGGATTTGTGTCTCGTAAAACGCAAAGCACGTCCTGACCCAATTTCGATGCCCAGAACCTCCAGAGCACTGACGTAGTTATATCCCGAAGATCCCATAGCCGCACATAGTCGTCTGCCTACTAGAGGGTGGCTGGAGGTGACCTTCATTTTGTCCCTCGCAGGTGGGAGCCCCAAGACGTCCAATACATGTAGTAGTAGCCTCGCTTCAAAGCCCTGTCCCCCATGCAGCTCAGTAGACCCCTGACCGACACAGTAATGTCGTCCGCATATAGATCCACAGTGCGCGGGATGTGCAAGGTGCTCTTGTATAGAACATCAAGAGGCGTGAACATCAGGCACTGCAGGGCAAGCATCGCACATGCACAGCCAGCGAGCACCCCCGGAGAAGCCCATATCCTATCCGAGTAACAGTTGTCCCAAATCAGACGCCGAGAACTCTTGTACATGCGAAACGCAGGTACAATAATCTGACCCGGGAAGTTGGCACGAAGCCGATTTTGCCAGAAGCTCCCAATCCATGTTCTAGAAACGCGTAGCGATGTCAGCGATGGCGTGTACCGACACAAGTGGGTCCTTGGAAGATCCTGCCGCCTCCCCTAGGACAAGGGCACGCGCGGCCACGTCAGTGGTGGACTTCTGAGCGCCTCGTGCAAGGAAAGGACGCTCAATCCGGCGTGCCCACCGTCGGACCCATCGCAATCGCGCTTTGGCCCACACAGGATACGATGACACCAGGAGGGCTATCGGACGATGTCCTCCTGTCGGCTTCCCCAGGAGGACTATATGTGAGTGACTGAGGCACGAAGGCCAAATCCCAAAAGACTCGCATGGTTGTAGAAAGTACGAGATCACAGCCAAACATTCGTTGGATACCAGTGCCCAATGGCGTGGGCGAAAGTGATCGGGCCCGACAGCCGTGCGACGAGGGAACTGGAGCGCAGCCGCCCGCAGCTCGGCAATCTGCAAATCGGGGGCCGTGTCCGCCCCCTCCCAGACCAGGAGGAGGAGGAGAAAGAGGAGGAGGAGGAGGAGGAGGAGGAGGAGGCCAGAGGGGTCATCGTAGCAGGGGCAACCATAGGGGGGGGATAGACATAGGGGGGGGGGGGCATCGACCCTTCAGGCGATCGCAAACATGGATCAGGGGGGCGTGGATTAGCGACGGGTCCCGTTTCCGTGGGTAACCGCGGATTTCCGCCGCCGAGCGAGGCGGCACTGGCCGCATTATGGGGAGGGCACTTCTCCCGATCCACGGATTCGGCGACCGCGCGCCAAGTCCATGGATCGCTCATCCATGTTTGCGCGCCCCCGACATAGGGGGGATGGGCGTAGGGGGGGATGCACCGACCCCCAATCACGCGCCGATCGCCGATCAATCGGCGATGTATCGTCCATTCGAGGTCGGCGTTTCCCCCCCATGCCTATCCCCCCCTATCGTTGCTTTTCATCGTAGCACGGGTATCCTTCGCCACGTTACACGCCCCCCTCCGTGCCGCGCCCGTCGCCGGCCGCGAGAGCGACGTGGGCCGCGGCTCGTCGCGGGGCCAGGAGGCAGGGGGCTGGGAGGCTGTGGGGAGCGTTTCACTGGTTCGCCCTGCCTCCTCTTCGGTATCCTTGGGCCTCAGGCTTCGGACTTCTGCTCATCTGTCCTCGTGGAAAAATGCGTGCAAGAGGCCTTCCTGCTGATGCTAGCCTCTGGGGAGGAGGACGAGGACGGGGAGGACGAGGAGGAAGAGGAGGAGGAGGGGGGGGAAGCGAGGGGGGAGGGGAGGAGGAGGAAGAGACGGAGGAGGAGCTCGGGAGGGGGAGGATCGGCGCCTGGGACTCATCCAGAGGAAGAGATCTGCGGCCAAAGGACCGGCCCCCGCAGGAACTCGGCATCGGGGCCTCGGGCACCCGCCACGGGGCCGTCAGCGACGACGGCGACAACAGATGGCCGACGGCGGCGGTGGCGGCGCAGATCGACGACGGGCGGCGGCGGTCGACTGCGGCGATCGGTGGCGACATCCGCGGCGAGCGGCGAGGGCGGGCGCGCGCCTCTGGCGCGCCCGCCCCAGCGAGAAGAGAAGCCCCCGCGGGCCGCAGGCCGCCGCGGCGCGGGGCGCGCACCCGGGGCTGCCGGCGGGGCCGGAGGGGCTCGCGGCGGCGTGCTGGGCCGGCTACGACGGGGGGGCGGCGGCGGAGGCGCCGCCGCCGCTCCCAGGGGCGTGCAAGGAAAGGGCGCGTCCCGAAGGTGAGATTTTTGTCGGCCGTTTCCTGGATTGCGGCCCACTGTGGCCATTCCATTCACGGGCCCCAGGATCGGGCGATCGCAGACATGGATCTAGGGGGCGTGGATTAGCGACGGGTGCCGTTTCCATGGGAAATCGCGGATTTCTGCTGCCGAACGAGGCGGCACCGGCCGAATGATGGGGAGGGCACCTCCCCCGATCCCGATCCATGGATTTGGCGACCGCGCACCAAATCCATGGATCGCTAATCCATGTCTGCGCGCCCCCGACAGGACCATGAGAAATGGATCAGGGACGAAAAAAACTGCCCCGGGGGCCATGATATCTTCCCTGCCCCTCGACCCTCCTCTGCGCGCCGCCAGCACATGCCTCGGGACACTTGCTGATCCCCCTCTTCCACTCCCCCATCCTACGTAGAGGCTCCCGACTCCCCTTCGGCGGGCGACAGCGACCGGGTCGGACGAGACAGGGGGGGATCAGGAAGAGAGGCGTTGGGAAGAAGGGGTACCCATCGCTCGTTGAAAGAGTAGGCGTTTGTGGAATGAGGGCGTTTTACATTAGTTTCGGGCAAAGTTATTTGCATGGCATTGCCCCACCCACTCCCCGCCCGGCTACGTGCATAGACCTCGAGGGTGGGCACAAGGAAGAGGGATGCATGTAAAAGATTAACACACGAGCAAATAAGACCGAGTTAGTTTCAAATGATCGTCGACGTCTTTTCGCCACCCTGCTCCTCCCGCTCGTCCTGCTCCCCGCACGGAGAGGGAAGGAGGAGGAAGAGGGCAACGACGACGGCCAGGGAGGGAGGGAAGGAGGAGGAGGAGGAGGAGGAGGAGGGAGGGAAAGAGGGAGGGGAGGGGGTGGACAAGGGGGCGGGGATGAGAAGGGCAAGGGATAGGTGGGAGGGGGAGGGGTTGACGAGCAGCACGAGAGGAAGAAGGGGGAGGAGTCGGAGAGGAAAGGGAGAGGGGGAGGGGGAGAAGGAGGAGGACGGTACGAATGGCCCCCATAACGCTCTCGTCACCGCGGGGTCAGCAAGGGCTTTCGCCGCCCACCGCCTCCTCACCCACGTTCGCCTGTCTCCAACCTGGCTGGTTCGACCGTCTGCTCTGGGCGCAAGTGGCTTGTGAGCGCACAACTGGTCTGTCTCGTCCCCCTCGCACACGGAGCCTCCGTACAAAGCATCGTTCTCGGAGGTTATCGGAGGGCTTTCGTGGCACTGGAAGGTTTTCTGGCTTCGGGGTGCTCTCCGGCAGTGACGCCCCGCTCGAAAGCAGTGTTGGGGCGCCGGAGTCGTCTCGGATGGCTCTTGCTGAGCCATGTCACAGCCGACACGAGTTGGACACCTGGCGTCGTGAGGAAGTGGGGCGGTCGATGTTTGTGAGTTTGGGCTCCTGGAGGCCCGCCGATGGCCCCATGGCCCCGGGGGAAAAAAAAGTAAGTCGGCACGCATGCGAAGGATGGGGTCAAGAGTTCCGGAGCCCGACGCATTGAAAAGATCAGGACGTAGGAAGTTGAGGTGATGACCACATCAGCTTGATTTTCGTCTTTCTGAGTGTTGATGGTTTTTTTCCGAGTTGCCGTTGGTTTGCCGAGGCAGGTTGCTTCGTTCGCGATGGAGGCATCATTCTCGGCTCCTCGCGATGATTATCTGATTGTGTTTGTGTCGCTCTCTCTCTCTCTCTCTCGCTATCTCCCTCTTTCTATCTCTCTCTGTCTCTCTCGCTCTCTCTCTCTCTCTCTGTCTATATCTCTCTTTCTCTCTCTCTCTCTCTCTCTCTCCCTCTCCCTCTCTCTCTCTCTCTCTCTCTCTCTCTCTCTCTCTCTCTCTCTCTTTGTTTAGTATGTGTATATATACATATATATAGGGGTGTGTGTGTCTCCTTTCCCTCTCGCCCATCCCTCTCCATTCCTTCCTCTTCATCTCCCTCTCCCTTTCTCTTGTTTTCTCTGTCTATCTCTCTCTCTTGCTCTCTCTCCCTCTCTATCTCTCTCTCTCCCGCTCTCTTGTTCCGTCTCTCTGTCTCTCTCTCTCTCTCTCCCTCTCTCATTGTCACACTCTCTTGTCATATATATGTATGGATATTTACATGTTCACTGCTTATGTATATATATGTGTCTATATGTGTACAAATGCGTGTACATATATATATATATACATATATATATGGATTGTTGTCGTTCCCTTTATCTCTCTTGAATTCTCTCCCTCTCTCTCTCACTCTCACCCCGTTCTATATCACGCTCTCTCTGTCCTTCTTTTGTTTGTCGCTCTCTCTATCTTTCTCTCTCTCTCTATCTTTCTCCCTCTCTCTCCCATTCTCTCTCTCTCTCTCTCGCGCGAGCACCTGAGGATATTGTCGAGATGGAGGAG